TCTTTTATATAAACATTATACACAACACATATATAATTACACAGACAGACAGAAGAACATTATACAGTAGTTGTAAGATTTCTTGTTTGCTAGTTTTTTAGTTTCTTAATTGGTTATTGACTTTATGGTGGAGTCCTTGGAAGAACAGGGCCAGGAAAGGGGTCTCTGGTGCCTCCAGGCTGTTAGAGCTTGAATACCCACTTTTAATTAAGCTGACTTTTAACCATAGCACTCTTTAATAAAGTCTTTTTAAAATTTCTTTTTAACCAATTTTAGCCAGGCCAAATGGCTGATATTTCTGGCTTTTGAAATTTACCATAGTAGGTAATCTCACAGATGCTCAGAGAAAGGAAAATTTAAGATAGTCCATGGAGGATAAGAGACTAGACAAGGTTATGCAGATATTCAACCAGAAAGAGTTTGCTTCCTAAGCAGGGACTTGCACCCGGACCACCAGTGTGAAAGGGCAAAACCTTAGCTACTGAACTACAGCATGGGGCAATCTCTACTGCCCTTCCCAGAAGGAATCTAGAGTAGTTAACAGTGAGTTTGCAAAGGCTTTTAACTACTCAGGATAATTTTTAGAGCTAACTATGACATAAACCCTAAAATTCCTGTTCCCTGGAAGGCAGAGACCAAGAGAAAGTACTGCTATGTGATTACAAAGTCAAGCTCCCAAGAACATAAAACAAGATGGAGATAAGCAGTGATTTTTACCATTCATTCAACTGTTTTTACAGAGAGAGAAGCCAGAAATCTGATTGGTAAGAAATTCTTACCTTTTGGCCAGCATGCCAGGCTCTGGGCTCCCTTGCCCTGAGTGGCTCTAGTGACCCAGCTTGCTGCACCATCACGCTGGGGGCCAAGCCGCATCATAAAGGAAAATTTTTTTTTTCACTCTGGCCAGAGCAAAATAATAAAACATAGACATTAGCCACTCTGCTTAGCACCCAATATCAAACTGGCAAGGCTTAAATTTGCCCTCAGATGGCCCTCCTCATCTTTAATCAAACCTCCGACTAGGAGTTTCAAGGCGCTGTCTCTGGGCAAGATGGTTGCCCTGAGTAACGAAAGAGATACGAAGGGAAAATAAGATGAAGGAAAGTATTGCCTGTGGCATTGTGCAGAAAGTGAAGAGCTCAGGGAGGCCAGAGCAAGACCCATTCATTTCAGCGACACTGAAAAGTTCTGATGGCCACTAGCTAGTAGCGAAAGGATCTTTTCCAGCAGTCTCATCAGCTCTCAGGTTTCCCTCTTTTTGGGGAGGAAGGAAAAAGTTCCCCGTGTCCCACCATCCTGTACATGCCTAATCCTGTCACCCACAGCTATCAGCAAAGAGTGTAAGGCAGATTATTCCAAAGAGAATAGCAGTTGACATCCCATAGAGCCAAAACCGTTCCTAGCCAAAAGATACTTTACTAAGAGCCCTCATTTTAAAAATGTACTTCAGTGCAGCCGGGCATGGTAGCTCACGCCTGTTATCCTGGCACTCTGGAAGGCCAAGGCGGGTGGATCACGAGGTCAGGAGATCGAGACCATCCTGGCTAACACGTCGAAACCCCATCTCTACTAAAAATACAAAAAATTAGCCAGGTGTGGTGGCGGGCGCCTGTAGTCCCAGCTACTCGGGAGGCTGAGGCAGGAGAATGGTGTAAACCCAGGAGGCAGAGCTTGCAGTGAGCTGAGATCTCGCCACTGCACTCCAGCCTGGGCAACAGAGAGAGACTCCATCTCAAAAAAAAAAAAAAGAAAAAGAAAGAAAGAACTTCAATGCATTGTTGTTCATTTGGAACATTCCACTGTAAGTTATCTTTAGTAAGATTTTGCTGTTTCTGTAAGACTTCGCTGCCTCCCAGGCCTAATGTGTAAGCCAGAAGGAACTCAGTTTTCCAGAAATTAAGGAGCCCATTTTTACCTAAAATATTGGCTTTACTCCCAGGTTCTCTTGGTTAACTTAGCCAATGATTTTTCCTACCTAAGCACACAAGAAAAATGAAAAAAGGGGTAGAACACAGAAATCCCTATGAATTTTCAAAAGCCAAATGTTATAACCCCTGCAATATTACGGCTTACTACCAGTTCCTTTCTGACCCAGTCAGATATAAGAGGCCTCTAACTGGATCCAAGCCAGTTAATTCCCGGATCAAATCTGTTCCTGGACCCAGTCCAGTTTCTGTCATATCTACAAACCCAGTTTGGATTAGAAACTTGCTCAAAGAAACTCAGAGAGCTCAAAACACAAATCCATGGAGCTCCAAAACTCTAGAGGGAGCTCACCCGCGATCCCCAGCCGCTCTGAGAGATCAATGGACACAGGTGGGACCTGCAGGTACCTTGTATGTTCACTCAGCTCTCCTGGGGGTCACTAGAAGGTCCACTTCAGATCCTGCTTCTGACACCATCTGACAAAAGAAAAACTTCAGCCAAATTAAATTTAAAGGAGTTTAGCTGAGCAATGAGTGATTCGCAAATCGGGCAGCCCCTAGAATCACAGCAGATTCACAAAGTCTCCAGGGGTGCCTCACGGTCAGAATAAATTTACAAGCAAAGAAGGTAAGGTAATGTACAGGAGTCAGAAGTGAGGAACAGAAATAGTGAGATTGGTTACAACTCGGCATTTGCCTTGTCTGAACGCAGTTTGAACATTCAGCAGTCTATGAGTGGTTGAAGTATGGCTGCTGGGACTGGCCAACACTCAGTTATTGTTACAGGTGCATAGTCCTAAGTTAGGTTTTCAATTTTGTCTGACTCTTACAGTTTATCCACAAGGACTCAAATATAGAAGTATGGAATCCTTCTCAGGCTATATTTAGTTTGCTTTAACAGATCAATATTTCTCAAAGTATGGTCCCCAGACCAGCAGTGTCATCATCACCTGGTTGTTTAAAATGCAAATTCTCAGGCCCCACTGATGATCTGCTAAATCAGAAACTCTAGGGGTAGTGCCAGGAGTTTGTTTTAACAAGACCGCCAGAGGTTCTGGTGTATCCTACAGTTTAAGAATCACTGACAAAGATATAAATTGGCGGTTTGGTTTTATACTTGACATATCATGATGAACATCCTTATAAGTCAGTAGATAAAACCAGATGCCTCTATTTATTTTCCTTTATTCTTTATGCATATATACACATATATAATTGTACATTAACAGACTCACTTTACAGATGTTTTAGGGTTTCTTATTGCAGTCTGTTTTGTTTTACTTGTCTTTATTCTCCCCCTTCCCCAATGCCACCACCTCCCCTCAAGCAACTCGTATTAACAACTTAGCATATGCCATTCTGTATTTTCCCCATTCTCATCTAACACATAAAACACATACTTAGACGCTAGACTTTAGATTGCCTGCTTTAAGAAAAATGGGATCATATTTTATACATTACTCTGCTTATCAGTTTCTCATCCAAAAATACCTCATGAAACTGTTTCCAAGGTAACTGTTTTCGCTCTAAATCTTTCTTTGTAATGGCTGCATGATATTTCATGTATGGATACACCACGATTTATTCATTCACCTCAATATTGCTGGCATTATGAATAAAGCTGTAATATATATATATATTTATATACATATATATTTATATACATACATATGTATACCCCCACACACACACATACCACACATACACGCACATATACCCTGATGTGTTTATTTCTGTAGTATACATTCCTAGGACAGGATTGCCAGGTTGAAAGTACATTTCTCATGTTAAAAAATATTTTAACATGCATTTCAGAAAAAGGATTTAAATTTTACATTTCCACTAATTGTGTATGATAGGGGCTTTCTCCCCCATATTGCCATCAGCAATAGGTGGTGTCATTTGATTAAACTTTTGCCAATCTGATAGGAGCAAAGTGGGAACCCTTTTTCCCTCTCCTCTCTGCTTAATTGATATTTTTAAAAAATAGACACATTCCATTTTGTGAGGAGCTGCAAGTTCCCCAGCATGCTTTTAATCCTTAATTCCACTTCAGTGGACCTCTCCATAACTCACTTCATAAAGGGAGCAGTATTTTCCCTTTAAAGCATAATGAGACTGGGCCCTTTTAAAATTCCTGTTTAGAGAAACCTAGAAATCTAGATTATCTCTTCTGCGTAAGCTGAAAGTCAGACAGTGCATCCTATATTATTCATATGTACCCCGCCTCATTCCCCCGTTCCCTCTAGACCCTCCATTTTCGGAACCTTTCTTTCTGCCTTCTTCTGCTCCACCCATTCCCCTGTTTATTTTAAACCTCCAGTATCCCCTTTAAAAAATGATTTTAAAATAAGCTTGGAAAACAGAATGCATTCTGTTGCAACAACATTTGTTGATAACACTTTAGGGCTTTAGCAGGTGAGGTCTGATGCTGGAAGCCCAATGACCTCATTGATTGAGCGCAAACTAGAGTAGGAGGGACGCCAGTTCTTCAAACTGGATACCTCTCCCAGTTCAGGGCTCTGCCTCTCCACTTCCCATCCCTTAGCACCTGAAGCAACCTATAGCAGAGGGAAGCCCTGTGGGCCCTGGCAGAGCCTCATAGAATTGCGAGAAACTCTGGTTTCCCTTCCAAAGTCCGGGAGTCCAGGGAGCATCCCGACCTCCCTGGGGTTTTTTTGAGAGGAGTGTCACTCACTAAAGAAGATTTTGGAAGCCTGGGGGCCTAGCAGCAACCATTTGTCAGAGCCTACCTGCCTGGTTCTTGGGCTCTGGAAGTGGGAGCTTGGAATCCATCAACAGCTTACAAAGACTGGAGTCCCCCTGGGTGCACCCCTGGGTCTTCCTGTCATCCAGTTGGTGTTTCTGCTGGTTTCTGTCCTACCATTACAGCTACCCTAGGAACCCACTGAAGGAGGAAAATAAGACAGTTGAAGGTGTCACAGATGTAGGGATCTGAGTAGTGATTCACTTTAACATGCATTTGATTGTTTAGAATGTATGTAATATGCAATATGTATGCAATACCACTCCTCAATCTGAGGGTGTTTAATGTTTCACTTCACCAAAATGCAGCATCTAGACCGGCTTATGAATCTTCCGCTGCATTCCGTGAAGATGGAACCTTGTTATACTAAAGTCAACCTGCTTCACGAGCGCCTGCAGGATCTCAAGAGCCGCTTCAGATTCCCCCACGTGGATCTGGTGGTTCAGAGGACACAGAACTACATGCAGGAGGTGGGTGTGGCAGGGGCATCCCTGGTGGAGGAGGGTGAAGAGAGAGCAGAGAAATGGGTGCTGACCAGTGAGACTGGCTGCTGGTGTAGCTGAGGGAAATGCGTCGCATCTCTTTAACCATCATGTTGGGGGAGGACATGTTCAGTCCCTCCACTGGCTTCATCTTCCTTCCATGTGGGTGAACATCATAGACAAGATATAGCTCAGAAAAATAAAGTAGCATTAATTGATAACTACTCGATTTGTCAAATCAGTGCTTTAACCTTGGCTACACTTTGGAATCACCTGGGGGAAATACTGATGTCCAGGCTGGAGTGCAGTGGCACAATCTTGGCTCACTGCATGCAACCTTTGCCTCCCAGGTTCAAGTGATTGTCTTGCTTCAGCTTCCTGAGTAGCTGGGACTACAGGCATGTGCCAACATGCCTGGCTAATTTTTGTATTTTTAGTAGAGATGGGGTTTTACTGTGTTGGCCAGGCTGGTCTCAAAACTCTTGACCTCAAGTGATCTGCCCACCTCAGCCTCCTGAAGTGCTGGGATTACAGGCATGAGCCACCACACCCAGCCTATATGGCTACTTTTTGATAGAACGTCCCTACCCTGATTCCAGCTGCTTCTAATATGCAGCCAGGATTGAGAACCACTGGCTTAAATTAATTCCGTAATGTAATTAAGAGCAAACCAATCAATCAATCAATCATAGCTTCATATTTGAATTTCTTGAGTCTGCTTGACAGGTTTCTTTTTTTTTTTTCATAAGGAACCTTTTCCCCAGTAACAGGAATGAATAGCACAAACTCCTTCCATATTATGGTGTTTCTTGAATGAACAAGGGGTGTGGTCATCAACACTCTAAAGGACACCATGCCATTTCACATAGATATTCTGAGGAGAGATTACTGTGGGCCAGACACTGTACCAGATCCCACTTCAGGGAGCTTGAGTGAGACAAATTCTTAGATAAATTCACTACAGCGTTGAAGGTATGATAAAGGTGTATATTGTGGCCAGGCACAGTGGCTCACGCCTGTAATCTCAGCATTTTGGGAGGCCAAGGCGGTGGATCACTTGAAGTCAGGAGTTTAAGACCAGCCTGGCCAACATGGCGAAATCCTGTCTTTACTAAAAATACAAAAAAATTAGCTGGGCATGGTGGTGCACACCTGTAGTCCCAGCTATGTGGACACTGAAGCACGAGACTCGCTTGAACCCTGGAGGCAGATGTTGCAGTGAACCAAGAGTGTGCCACTGTACTCCAGCCTGTGTGACAAAACGAAACTGTGTCTCAAAAAAAAAAAAAAAAAAAAAGTATATATTGGATGCTTTGGGATCACGGGCTTGGGGAAGAAAGGAGCATTTTTTTTTTTTCATAAAAGTTATGGACAGGATTAAGTGATACATTTTAGCTAACCCTTGAGTTGTGAGGGATGAAAGAGGAAGAAGGAACAAAATTGGGCAACAGTTTAGCAGAAGTCTCTTTCGTAATATTGGACCCTGGTGACGGGAACACAGGCAAAGGTGCAGAGAATAAGATACCTGAACTACTTCTGCTTTCTGAGCCATGAGCATGTCAGCCACTGTCCCCACCCATCCCTGACCCTTCCTGCCTTCCCAGCACTGCAGAGAGAGGGAGAGATATGCTGCGGAGTGCTTTACGTCCACTTAAAAGTGGAGGTGCAGCCAAAAACTAGTTGAAGAAGGCTCCAGCCTCATCCCTTAATCAGTGGCTGCAGGTATCAAAGAATAGAAGAGGAGTACCCACAGGAGATGACAGAACGCTTGCTCAGTCCCATGGCCTTGGGTTTTCCAACTTCTTCCTGCTCCCACTGTGGCCACGTGACCATTTGTTTCACAGCCTTGGTGATGGGGTGATGTTGCTGTGGGTCACCCCCAGAGTAACAGCCGAGGGGACTCATCTCTGATGGCCCCTACTCTCCAAGCCCACTTAGCCAGCCTGTGGTTGGTGACCCCAGCCTCTGACTGTTGTCTGTTTCTGTGTCACTTCTGCTTTCTAGCTAATGGAGAATGCAGTGTTCACTTTTGAGCAGTTGCTTTCCCCACATCTCCAAGGAGAGGCCTCCAAAATTGCAGTTGCTATTGAGAAGGTTAAGCTCCGAGTCTTAAAGGTAAAACCGTTCTCTTGTTTGTGGGAAGCATAAAATGAGAACGTGACCCCTGTTTCTTTTGTGAAGTGGAAAATACCATGTTCTCTCCTTCGCTCTAATCTTTCCCCACTCCTTCCTCTCCGAAGTCCAGTGACTTGTCAATCTGCTGCGGTTTCTCCAGTGTGACTTCCATGCCTCTTCTGCCATCTAGTGACCACTGCTAGTCCTCAGTACCATTACCCACAGCTAGAGGCCCTGTGTCCCAGCTTTCATAGAGATAGAACTCGACAAACATTTATTGGCTGTCCACCATAAGTATTGTGTGGGATGTAAAAATAGGCAAGGCCCAGCCTCTTTCTTCAAAGAGGTTACAAATATGGTAAAATCCATTAAACTGGCAAATATTTTATTGAAAAATCAAAACCTCATGGCAAAGGAAATACTCCAAGGAAAAGAAACCTACCATATGAAATTGTTTTAAATGTACTTCAGCGTAAGTGTATATTAAAATAGCTTTAATAATAGGAGCTTGCGCATATGTTATATTTTAAAGGCTTTTACTTGATCCCTACAAGAACTTGTGCATTAACTGGAATATGCCCCCATTGTACAGATGAGGAACTGATTCTGTAAAAGCTAATGTGACTTAATTAAGCTCAACAAGCTGGTCAATGGTGAGTTTAAGGATAAACGATCATACACTGATTTTTTTTTAACTGATTTTTTTTTTACTGCCTTCTAGTTATCCTAAACAGTGCCTTGGAACAGAAGATCAAAGTCCCACAGAGCCTAAGGGTGGTCTCTGAATTTCGGACTTGATCTTGATGCTTCACAGGCAAGAGGAAACTCTAGCAACCAATTCACTGATATTAAAAATGATACTGATCATGGTAACATACATAATAATGAAATTGCAATGGAAGTAAAAAAAAAGATAGTGTCAGTGTCAAATGCTTTAGCATACAGAAAGAAAGGAAGAAAAAATGTAGAAAGGTGTTCAAATAATAGGACCTCAAGTTTGAAAGAGATTTTGAGTGCCTTTAGTTCAACTTCATGTTCAGTGTTCAGCAGGTTCCCTCAAGGGGTGATCCCACTCATGCTCCGACACCTGCACTGGCAGGATGCTTTTTGCCTCTCAGGATAGCCCATTTGAGTTCTTGACAGCAAGAACATGCTTTCTTATGTTAGACCAAAGTTCTCACCACTGGTCATTCCAGTTCTACCCACTTCATTCATAACCTTCTTCCACGTGGCAGCCTTTGGTTGTTTGAATAAGTTATAACTTGCCCTAAGTTGTTATCTCCAGTATAAACACCTTGGTCTCTTTAACTGTTCTTCACTTGGCCTGACCATTCTTCTCACTGCCTATGACTGTACTCTGATTTATCTGTGATCCCCTTGAAGTGAGATCTAAGATTAAATCCTGGTCTCCATGTTGGGATGTCCAATGCAGAACAGAGAGAATCATCATCTTTCTTGTGCTGGATACTGAACTTCTTTGGTTAACACGTCACAGTGTTTATGGAGCCACTAGCCAGGCCTTCTCTTCCCTTGTGGAAATCATTACAACCCACTGACCCTGCTTTGAGGATGTGGAGTAATAGATGATCATGGACCTACCTGGGACAGGAGTAATAAAGTACAAACTCACCCCCCAATTCTATCCCCAACTTCTTTATAATGCAGAAGTCACCACTCTGTTTTGATCTTGCCTCAGTTTCCATATCTGTAAAAGGTAAGAGTGAGATGGATCATTATCAGTTATAAACTGTGCCTGCAGTGTGAGGAGATTACATGGAAAGATCTCTGAGGCCTTGGAAATCCAAGAGTTCTCAGACATTAGGGGGAAAAGAGAGGTGAAGTGGGTGGCTGAGTTTTTTGCGCAAGCATAAGTCAACAGATTGTACTGTTACTATTTAACATATGTTTCTTTATTGACAGCAATATGATTATGACAGCAGCACCATCCGAAAGAAGATATTTCAAGAGGCACTAGTTCAAATCACACTTCCCACCGTGCAGAAGGCACTGGCGTCCACATGCAAACCAGTAAGGGGATGAGTTACCCTAAAGAGCTTGCTCTTCTTACCTCTGAAGTTCAAACAAGTTCTTTTGTGATGTGTACTGGCAAACAGCAGACTAGACCAGGGAGGGATTGGCAGACATTTTTGTAAATGGTCAGATAGTAAATCTTTTAAGCTTCGTGGACTGCACTATTTCTGTTGCAACTATTCAGCTCTGCTGTTGTAGCACACGAACAGCCATTGACTATATATAAACAGACTTTATTTGCAAAAACAAGATGCTAGCCAGATATGCTGACCCCTGGGCTAGACAAAATCTCAAAGGGCAGTGATCTGAATTTGAGCCAAACTAGGGGTTGACATAGAATACCTAAGGATACCGGGTGTTCCTCATTATAGTATGACTCATAGGTCCAACATGTCCTCTGAAACTTGACCATTGCATCCAAAAAAGAGCTTAGCTCACATGATTACAGGATATTTGTTCTGTTAAACCCAGCAATGTTGTTTAGCGAAATCAATGGAACCACTTAAAACCTCTACAAACATTGAGCATCCAGTGAGAGCCATGATTACCAGGGTGTGACTTCATCTGTAGAGCAGAGCAATGGGCCAGCAGAGACTGAAAACAGCTCTGCGAGGAGGTATTATTTATATCCTCGTGGTACAAATGAGGAAACCTGAGTGGTTAAGCCACTGAGCCAGGGCCACAGACATGGTGACCACCAGAGTGTGAACCCGGTTCACACTTCCCTGTAACATGATAGGCACTCAGGAAATTGTATCAAGTACTGCTACCACTATTATTATTACTACTTCTGCATTTCAAAAATGATCTATTAACCTGGAACAAGGCCTACTCCCTCTTGGAGCAAATGATAAAGAGGTTTTTGGCAGCTCAAAGAGTCTCCAAGCACTGGAACATTAAAATCCTTTGCATGAGTTATTTTACTGCAGACATTTCTTTGGTCATTTTTATAGTCTGTAAGTGTTGTTTTTCTTCAGATCATCATCAGCATATTAGATGTATTTGGCATTTATTTCTGGGGCATGGTTCTTTAATAGGAAAGGATTTGATTAAGCCAAGGGATTGACCCTTGACCTTACATGGCAGAACAGTTCAGCAGCCAAATGATGATGGTGTCCACTGCTAGGTGGGTTTGCACACAGATGTTCTGCTTAGATTTTTTTTTTTTTTCAATCACAAAGGCAGTTTGGGGGCCTCAAATCCGCCTTATTTCAGGAGAAAGGTAAGGAGGTTCTCCTTCTCATCTGCTCCCCTCTTTCTAAGCATCAACAGAGTGTGCTGTGCCCAATCTGTAAGAGGCTCTTGTAATTTTTTAATCAGGAGGCATTGATTTCAAAAGAGCCCGTGACCCAGAGTTTTTGGTAATGGAGGATATTATATCAGCTTTAAGAGCTTTTTAAAAATCTGGATTTGCAGAATAGATGAATGAGGGGATTATCTGCTTCCTAGAAGGAGTCTTTATTTTGCTAAAGTGCATTTCCCTTGGCTCTATAAGTAGCAGCTTCCTAGATCTGTGGTACTCAACCTCAGCCAGAGCTATGTATTAGAATTGTCTGAGGAACTGTGAAAAAATGATTCTGACTCCCCAACACCTACCTTCAGGGATACTAAATTAATTGGCCGAGGGAAGTAAACCTATGGCCCAGTTCAACCAATTCAATATAGAAGACCTGTTTTGTAAAGTTGGTCACTTCATGACAGTGTACATGTCCATAGAAAGTTCTCCTTCCCACAGAATTATTTAGCTGGTTGAAAATTTAAAGGTCTACTGTTTATTGAGTCCGCAAATAGGTATTAGATGTGTATCACATATGATCCAGGCATTATGCCAGGCCAGCATCCCTGCAGTTCTGGAGTTCATGGTAGAGAGTGGGAGACAGGCAAACAGGATGCCATGTGAGGAACACAGCAGTTGCCTCATGGGGAAGAGTTCCAATGAAAGTGCCAAACTCTGCTTCTGCAGCCAGGAAGGACTTCCAGAGTCATGCTTTCACCCAGTCCTGAGGGATGAATGACAATCAGGGGAATAGGAATGGGAGACCACATGGGAAGGATGAAAGGGTACTGCAGGCATGAGTCTGTTCCTCTCGTTTAGCAGAGGAAGAGACAGAGGCACAGAGCAGTGATGTGGCTCACCAAGGTCCCATGTCTAGTCCAGGGCAGTCTCCAGTCTCCTGGGCAATGCTTTTCTCAAATCTGTGCAACAGTCCTGCCTCTAGACCCTCTAGGGGTCATTGAAGCTCATGTCTCTTCAATCCTTTGCCTTTCTTCTTGGTTGGGTATAAAGGAACCCATTATTACCCACTGTGATCTGGGCTACAGTGCCCCAAAGTCCTAGCACTGAGAGTTGTCTGAGGTTGTGCTTCTGATCACCTGCTGTAAATACTGTCCTTCCAGGCAAGAGATCACAAATCCCATGATAAGTCCCTGATTTTCTAAGAGCCACATGTGGGAAGCCGTCCCCCAGCACCACCAGGTGCAAGGATTACCGAGTTAATCACTGGGATATAATTTGGTACATTTTGATCCCTGCCCTGTCCTCATGCTGATAAAAGGCAAGCCATTTGGAAACCCTTGGAAAAGAGGGAGAGTTAAGGGTGGCACCATGCCTGGGCTATCCTAGAAGGAATCAATGAATGTCAGGGCCAGTTGAAGAGAAAGAAATGTTTCTGAAGAGCCCTTGACTAGAGATTCTCCCAACCCCCAAAGTGGCCCCATTCTAATAAAGTTAAGCGTACATCTACCCTATGACCCAACAACTTCACTTTTAGGCATATGCCCAACATGAACAAGCCCTTAAATCCACAAAAAAAATATATGTACAAGAATGTTCACAGCAATTATATTTATAGTTGAAAATTGAAAAACAATCTCAATTTTCATCAATGTGAGTGCAGATAAACAATTTTTGTTTATCCATATAATTAATACTACTTAATAAAAAGGAATGAGCTACTGATAGATGTAGCAACATAGATGAATCTCAAAAACAAACGCAAAATAATTATGATTTCATTTCTATAAAGTTCAAGAACAAGCAAAAGCCAATCTATCACGATAGGTATAAAATCAGTGCTCATATCTTGAGGGGTACAGACTGGAAAGGGGAGTGGGGGAACTTTGGGGATGATGGAAACATTCTCCTTCTTGATCTGGGTTATGGTTACGTAGGTAATATTTACATATTTAAAATCATTGAGCTGTACTTATCTGTACATTTTATTATATATAACGTACCTTGGTAAAGTGCTGTTGTAATTTGTTTAAAAAAGGAAGAAGGAAACATCTTAGTGATGAGGGAAAAAAAGGAGGCTCCAAACCTACTAATGAGGCCTTGAGACGATTTAAAAAAAAATCACTGCTGTCTTCCCCCATGAAGTGCATAATATGCATGGCCAGTACAAGGAAAGGGAAAGGAATCACCAATGGCTGAGTGAGTTCTGCACCTTATCATGGACAGTAATAGATGTGTTGAGGTCAGGCATGGTGCCTAGACAATGAATTGAATTGAAGGGAACCCAGTAAAATATTGTTGAATTGAGTAATTTGCCCCTGGGCCAACATTGTCCTTCTCTCATGCCCTCCAAGAAAGGAATCATGAGTGGGAATCGTCCTTTCTGTATCTCCTCTAAGAACAGGCATCTCATGCCTTTTCATCTTTATCTTCTTATCTCTTGCTCTCCAGGAGCTTCAGAAATATGAGCAGTTCATCTTTGCAGATCATACCAATATGATTCACGTTGAAAATGTCTATGAGGAGATTTTACATCAGATCCTGCTTGATGAAACTCTGAAAGGTAAGGAAGGTTACCTGGTGCTGCAGGGACTCTCCATAGAGGGAAGCGTCCCTGAAACAGGATTCTGTAAGGCCAGTCTGGAGGAAAAGAGAAGAGGAAATGGACATTGGTGAGGTGGGGAGACAGTGAGGAGAGGGAAGGAAAGAAGGAAGGATACTAACCTTCATTGAGCGTTATGATTAAGCACACACTAAGCTGGCACTTTATTATTTTCCCTTTTTAATACAAAAATATGAATACTGTGAGATGAGAATTTTAAGTTTCATTTTACAGATGAGAAAGTTGAGCCTTAGTGAGATTAAATCTCGGGTCTCTCATGAAGAGCTGTCTTCCTCTTGCTATTCCAGACAGAACAAAGGAAAAGGGCTTTCCTTAGGCACAGGCTTATGACTGCCCCTGCCCCCCACTCACCAAAGCTGAGAACAGGCAATTGTAGCAGCAAGGCTTGTTAATGGCTCTCTCAACACATGCCCAGCCTACACTCAGCCGGACAGAAAAAGGTGCAGGGTGATGACGCAGTGTCATGCGAGTCTCGGTAGGACCCTGGCACACGGTATCCTCAGGAATCCCTTGCCTGGGATTGGATTGTGGATAGGAAAACTTGTTAAAAATATGCTGGAGGGCCAGGCATGGTGGCTCACGCCTGTAATCCCAGCACTTTGGGAGGCTGGGGCAGGCAGATCCCTTGAGGTCAGGAGTTTGAGACCAGCCTGGCCAACACGGTGAAACCCCATCTCTACTAAAAATATTTAAAATTTGGCTGAGCGTGATGGTGCATGCCTGTAATCCCAGCTACTCCAGAGGTGAGGTAGGAGAATCGATTGAACCCAGGAGGCAGAGGTTGCGGTGAGCCGAGATTGTGTCACTGCACTCCAGCCTGGGTGACAGAGTGAGACTAGGTCTCAAAAAAAAGGCTGGAGAGGGCCACCATCAAACCGTGGGCCTGAAACATATCTGATCTCCTTTGGGAACGTCTTAAGTATCACAAAAGACCTTCCTCAATGAAAACTGGCCAAGCACAAGCCCAGGTCCCGGTAGCTAATTCTAGGGAATCCAATGAGGTCAGGAATATGAAGATGTCAGCACAGTGTGTACACAAAGGAAGGGCTCGGCCAAGGCCACTGCCAGCCCACCATGGGCACCTTTGGGTGATTGAGAAAAAGACTCCTTTCCTCCAGACACTTTATTGCTCTCTGTTAGAAAATTGTCACCATATATTGATTTTGTTAGGGAAGGAAACTCTGCAGCTAGCTGCTGAAAAGTTATGCTGAATACACAAATATATACTGTCTTTGATATGAATGGCAGCCCTGGGATGTGATATTTTTGGGCACTAGAGCCCCTGCACTGCCATAAGTAGGAGGCCCGTGGTCAAAAATGTCACCTGCTGTTGTTGTTCTTATTAGATTTGCCCCTCTGGTGGCCTTTGAAACTGAGCTAGATGCACACGGATCTTCATTTCGGCCCTCTCCTCTGCATGTGCAGTACCGAGTACCTATTACACATTTAGGACTGTACTGCAAGGTAAAGCAGAGAAGTGTAAGGCCTGCCCCTGCCCTAGAGGATTTCAGTCCAGGTGGACAAACTGAAGCCAGCCATCTTAGCAGCTAATAAAATGTGCTGGGGCCTCCCTGAAGGATACAGGTGATGCTCTTGCAGACCCTGAGTGTCTTGAAAACAAAGGCTATAGTTTATTCATCTCTGCATTCCCAGGGCTTGTCCCATGTTAAATGCCCTGCAAATGTTTGCTGTTTGAATAAGTGAATGAATGAATGAATGAATGCTACGGAGGCTCAGAGTTTGGAAAGAGTTTATGGTCTTTGGTCATCAGGGAAGGCTCCCTGGATGTAAACTGGCTCTTGAAATAGAGAAATTTGGATAGCCAGAGAGACTGAGAGAGGACTTTGGCTTCTCAATAAAATCAGAAAATCCAGGCTGACCAGGGCAGACTGTTAATATCATGTTTTGTTTTCTGATACCTCTCAGTGATAAAGGAAGCCGCTATCCTGAAGAAACACAACTTATTTGAAGATAACATGGCCTTGCCCAGTGAAAGTGTGTCCAGCTTAACAGATCTAAAGCCCCTCATAGGGTCAAACCAGGCCAGCCCTGCCAGGAGAGCTTCTGCCATTCTGCCAGGAGTTCCGGGTAGTGAGACCCTCAGTAACGAAGTATTCCAGGAGTCGGAGGAAGAGAAGCAGCCTGAGGTCCCTAGCTCATTGGCCAAAGGAGAAAGCCTTTCTCTCCCTGGGCCAAGCCTACCCCCGGGTGGGACTGAGCAAGTGATTATTTCAAGAGTGGATGACCTCGTGGTGAGTCCTGTGGCGGCAGAGGACACGGCAGGACTCCCGGGCACACGTTCATCAGAGCTGGAGCTTGGAGGGCCCCTTGAGGGTGAAGAACCCGCCCAGGAAGAGCCAGAACCCATCACTGCCTCAGGTTCTTTGAAGGAGCTCAGAAAGTTGCTGACAGCGTCTGTGGAAGTATCAGTGGACTCTGCTCCAGCGATAGAAGAAGATACAAACGGGGAGAGTCACATTCCCCAAGAAAATGAAGAAGAAGAGGAAAAAGAGCCCAGTCAGGCAGCTGCCACCCATCTGGACAACTGTGAAGGAAGTGAAGTCAGTGAGAGGGAGGCCCAGCCTCCCTGTCCCGAGGCCCGTGGGGAGGAGTTGGGGGGATTTCCAGAGGTAGGCAGCCCAGCCTCTCCACAAGCCAGTGGAGGCCTCACCGAGGAGCCCCTGGGGCCCATGGAGGGGGAGCTCCCAGGAGAGGCCTGCACACTCGCTGCCCATGAAGGAAGAGGAGGCAAGGGCACCGAGGACGGGGAGGCCTCACAGCAAGAGGGCTGCCCTTTAGGTTCTGACCCCGTCTGCCTCAGTGAGAGCCAGGTTTCTGAGGAACAGGAAGAGATGGGAGGGCAAAGCAGCGTGGCCCAGGTCACAGCCAGTGTGAATGCAGAGGAGATCAAGGTAGCCCATGTTCATGAGTGTCAGTGGGTGGTGGAGGATGCTGCAAACACGGATGTCCTGCTGTCACACAAAGATGATGTGAAGGAAGGAGAAGGTGCTCAGGAGAGTTCCCCAGAGCTGCCCTCAGAGGAGTGAAAGGGACAATTTGGCTAAAGTCTTTCTCTGAACAAAGCCAAAGGGTTTTAGGGGTACACTTAGGGGTTGCATGTAAGCTGTTACCAAAAAATGTTTAAGTATTTTCTGAATTTGAATAATAAAACCAGAGGAAATGCACACAGGGCATGAGCAACTGAGGCAAACCTTTGTGGAAATGAATTGTTCTACCATGAATTTTTGCTTTAGTATTTTAATAAGAATTACAAAGGCAATGGCGTACTTGGGGTGAGAGGGAGCTGAGGATGTCTGAGGAGGGAATAGTATTGCAGGGAAGACGGAGAAAACAGTAGAATGACAGTTTTGAATATACTCTTTACTTTTCAGTGATACAATCTTCTTATGCACTTTAAGGCTTTTTAATTTTGTTTGAGAATGTAAATGTATACTGTAAGTCTAGCTTTACTATCTACTATGCCTACTTCACCATCTCTTAAGGACTCAGCATTTGTTCACAGTCAGGCTGCAAGAGAGGGTAGATCATGAACAGTCACCCCTGCTGGCTGTAGCCCCACAGAGGCAATCACGCCCAATAGGTTCAGGAGAAGCTAAGCGGAAATGGAGGGCGGAAGGTGTGATCTGTGGGACTGTCTGGGCCTGTTACCCATCCTGCTATCGATTTCTTATTAATTAATCTTGATGATTCTTATTAATTAATCACATTTTCAGGAAATTCAGATGAGGCAAGAAAATTTTATCGGCCTGGGTAAGCCTGAAAGCATTCCAAATTAGGCTTAGACTGTGCAAAGGGCTTAGCTAAGTTATCGAGCTTAAAGCCCATCAATTAAACAAATATTATTTGAACAGTTACTGCATGCCATGCACTGTGTTGGACTTAGTAATAAAAAAAAAAAAAAGAAAAGATAAGGTGCTCGTTCTAGCATAAATTAAAAGGTCCAAGGGGATTTAATCTGGAAGAAAACATATGCCAATTTTCAAACTATGACAGCGTTTTTTTTTTTTCTCTTTCCATTGAAACAGTCCTAGTTCATTCCCAGAAAAAATATGCCAATTTTCAAACTATGACAGCATTTTTTCTTCTCTTTCCATTGAAACAGTCCTAGTTCATTCCCAGAAGGGCACAAAATGAATGAATAAATAAAGACAAAAGCCAAGATGTATGCCCTCAAGTTCCAAAGATGTTACCAAAAGCTGAAATCATTAGTTTGGTCATTCAGCAAGCTAACTGAGTCTCTGTTATATACCAAGCACTGGAGATACCATGTTGAAAAATAACTTTGTTCCTTCCTCTTAGAACTTACATTTTAATGGAAATAGACAAAACACATCTTCTTATCGGATGGTGACCTATAACCATTAATGTTGAAAGTGGAAGAGACTTACTTCCAAAACATTAAAAGGAGTTGTCTTTTCTCCTTCAGAAAAATACCAGATCATTTCTTAAAATCTCCAGTCCCAGGTATTACATCTTGGTTTCCCTCCCCCACTTTTTTTTTTATTTTATTTTATTTTATTTTATTTTATTTTATTTGAGATGGAGTGTTACTCTGTCGCTGAGGCTGCAGTGCGGTGGTGTGATCTCGGCTCACTGCAACCTCTGCCTTCTGGATTCAGGAGATTCTCCTCTCTCAGCCTCCCAAATAGCTGGAATTACAGCCGTGTGGCACCACTCCCGGCTAATTTTTGTATTTTTGGTAGAGATGGGTTTTCACCATGTTGGCCAGGCTGGTCTCAAACTCCTGACTCCAAGTGATCCACGCATCTCGACCTTCCAAAGTGCTGAGATTACAGGTGTGAGCTACCTGGCCCCTCCCCAAATTTTAATATCAGATCTCAACATATTTGTTGAGAACTTGTTTAGATCATCACTATTAAGTAAATTTATATCAGTTCTTTAGAGCATTTGCTTCACACACAGTTCAACCATTTAACCAGAAATTAAAATATCACCCTCTTCAGCCCTCCCATGAAGAATTTCTAGGTCATAAACATGAATAATAATCAGTATCTGTATAATATCATATTTAATTGTTGCAACTTTTCTTGGAGTGTTTACATCCTCATGTCTTTGAGGGATCCCACCATAGGTGAAGAAAGTAAAGGCCACTTCTCCCCCAGTCTCTGCTTTCCTCGGTGCTCACTCATATCCTGGCATTTAGCATGGTGTGTTGAAATTAGGTTTACTTCCTGTCTCTCCAAGAGGCTCCTCTCTTAAAGGACAGAAACTAGGATTTAGTCATCATCTGTGCTTCCTGCTGGAAACCCACAGCCTTGAATAATGGCTTCCTGCCTCCTTGAGTCACTTTAATATCCCTGGTGCAGAGGACCTGGCAAGCATCAGGCTGCTCGGGAAATGTGGGAACTGGACACCCAGAACACTGCTGTGCTGGGGCTATTGGGGCCTGCTGTTAGGCAGAGAGACGTTTTGAACTGGGCTTTCTGCCCTTGTTGAGTTTTCTCTTAAGTAAAGTCCAAAGTCCAAGGGGCAGATGGCCAGATGCACTGCCCAGTAAGGCAGGAAGCCAAAGAGGCAGTGCCCAGCCCCACAAAGACTGCCCGACTCCCTGAGACGGTAGTGTGGAGTCCCAGCCCAGGCGGACCTCACACCGGAGCTTCCTGGCTTCCTTTCTTTGCTGCATGCAGGGCTTCTTGCACCCCCTGGAAAGCTAAGAGATTTTTTTCAACCCTAAAAGAGAGTACATTTCACTGCATTGGATGGATGAACATTAATGCCCTAAATTATTCATCATGTAGGTTAGGGAGGACTGGGCACTATTTGGCAGGATGTACTCCAGAATATAATCAAAGAATTTTCTGTACATATTTCACTAAAGACAAGTTATTGGGCTGGATGCGGTAGCTTACACCTATAATCCCAGCACTTTGGGAGGCTGAGGTGGGGGCGTCACTTGAGCCCAGGAGTTCTAGACAAGCCTGGGCAACATAGCAAGATCTCATCCTTACAGAAAATAATAATGGTGTGTGCCTGCAGTTCTAGCTACTTGGGTGGTTGAGGCAGGATTGTTCGAGTGAGGGAAGTTGAGGCTGCAGTGACTATGATTGTACCACTGCACTCCAGCTTGGGCAACAAAATGAGACCCTGTCTCAAAAAAAAAAAAAAAAAAAAAGTTTTCTAGAATAAGTAGGATAATTGTTAAATTTGAAGATGGAACAGGAAACTAGAGTGCATTTAAAATACTCTGTCTTCATTTTAACAAGATGAATGGAATAACTTCATATCACTATGAGTTTGTTTTGCTTTTCATACAGACTTGTATGTGTCATTTCAGTGGTTTCCAGATTGGAGCAAGGTTATTCTGATCTAAATGAACAGCATGAAAAGCCTCTGTGTGCCACTCTGGGGATCTCTCCTATGGGCAAAGCCATTAGAAATGCATAAAACCTCGAGACATGGTTTTTGGCAAAAACTCCATGACTTTAAACTAGTTCTTTTACTACTGACCTTTCACAAAGAAAAAATATTTTCCTTGAAAAAAATTGGGTTTGTCATTTTTTCCCTTGTAGCTTTGAGCAGAGACACAAGTGCCTTGCATTACACATAGTAAACTTTTTTTTTTTGCATTACACATAGTAATCTTTTCCAAAAAGATTTTGCAGACTACCAGGGTAAGATTCCAACTTGTACAAAAGCTTTCTGGCTTTACATTTTTTATTATAAAAATTCTCAACTCTGGTTTTGTAGTCTTCTATATCGGAGCTAGTGATTTCAAAAGGTTTCACAATTCCCCAAGACAAAAGTGATTTTTGTTCATTATAATAAGGTTAAGTGATATGTGATTCATAGCAATTTTGATGTGGAGAAGGGAAGGGCATCACTGACTTAATAATAATAGTTTCACTCGGTGCAACAGTTGGCAACATGTGCCTTCACACTTTACCATAAAGAGATGGGTTTGAGGGTTTGCCTTCTAAAGTCTGCAACTTCAAGAAAAAAAATCGACACCGTGGATTGACTTTTCTGGTCACTATATAAAGCAAATAAACTTAAAACACTTTGTAACCATGTATTTACTCTGCCAAGTGCCTATATTCCAATAAAATGTTCATCCTTGAAGAGCCGACCAGATGTCATTTCTTTGGAAGGAGGCTGGTTTCATCTTTTAAGCAGATGTCACACTTGAGTTGGGAGGTACAGCCCTCTGAAATGAAAAGGTGGGTCACTCTTGCTGTATCATGGAACTTTTACTTTTCTGTTGTCAGAAGGAATCTGCAGGGAAGCCATGTAATGTCAGGTGTAATTATGCTTTGATAATTCATATGCTTATGTCTCCAGGAATTGGATCACATTCATAATACAGCAGTGGGCAATTACTCTTGATGTAACTGAACTGCTGTTCAAACTTAAATTTATTTTCAGTGGGTAACATTGAGCAAAACATTCATTCTTTCTGTAATTATATGTAAGACAGTATGTATTTGCCATGTCCACAGTTGCTCATTTATCCGTGGATTCATTCATCAAAAAAATAATGACTAGCAGTGGGTGGTGGAGAAACAAGTGAACATAGTAGACATGATCCCTGACATCAACAAACTCAAATTCTCAGTGTGGACCTGGCCAGGGAGAATCCCAAATGAGTATTCACTTCCTCACCTGGCCTACATCTTGTCTATAATCTCACCTTTAACTCTAGTCACACCAACAGCTTCAGGCGAGAGAGGAAGAAACATTGGAGAAATCAAGTCCACCAGTGAGGGGGGCACTTGGTGTGGCAATCATTCCTTCTCCCTCTTCCATACCAAACTTTCAGGATGCAAGAATTACTTTCATTGTGGCCCCCTCAGACCTTCTTCCACTTAGAGCCAAAATTCAGATTGGAATTAAGGGACAGGGAGTTGATTTGAAACTGTTTGCAGAGTTTTTTCTGAGGTCATATGTTTATTGGGTATGGCTTGGACAGGATCCATGAGTCTTGGGAGGGTCAACTAAAGCTATTCTCTCCTCAGCCACACTTGGAGCCGCCCCTGCTTGAACACTGCTGAATCTTTGCCACATTCTTCCTTTTGCTAAAAACATCTGGCTCTCTCATCTCCATCTGGCCAATTCCCACTTTTCCTGTAAGCATCAGGGTAAGTCGGGCTAAATCCACCCTGCCCCCACAGCCAGTAACACTTCTCTGAACTCTCACCCTAATTTTCTTGCCCACTTCTGGTCATCCTCTCTCACTCTACTGCAGCATTTACCTTGCCTGTGCCTTTGGGACAGGTACCCTGTCTGTAATCTTTGTAATCATAGCGAAGGAATACAAAGCTCAATAGCAAATGTTTAATGCATGTTGAAGGAGTCGGGTGCGGTGGTTCACACCTGTAATCCCAACACTTTGGGAGGCCGAGATGGACAGATCACTTGAGGTCAGGTGTTCGAGACCAACCTGACCAACATGGCAAAACCCCATCTCTACTAAAAATACAAAAATTAGCTGGGTGTGGTGGCAGGCCCCTGTAATCCAGCTACTCAGGAGGCTGAGACAGGAGAATCACTTGAACCTGGGAGGCGGAGGTTGTAGTGAGCCGAGATCATGCCACTGCACTCCAGCCAGGGTGACAGAGTGAGACTCTATATCAAAAAAAAAAGTTGAAGGAATAGATAAATAGCATCCACTCCAGATGTAGGAGACAAGTGGAGATATAGCTAATGACCCCTCAGTATGCCATAAGTGGCTGTGAAGTTGGTAACTTTATTTACCCTCAGCCTACTGGGAGAGTTTCATTTCAGTGATGAAAACTGACCATATGCTTATGCACACCCACACCTCTGGGAGGAGCTTCAGAGCCAAGTTACCCCCAAGTCAAGCTAGCTATCAAAACTATGAGCTGCTTCCTAGTTCTCAGGGCAGTGGCTGCCACTGGATTTTCTTAAGGTCTCTATGATGTAATCAATGCAAAAAGTTAAGAAGGTCACCCTTGAATTGCACCCAAGTCTGCAAAACACAAGCAGATGCCCAAGAGTTCATGGACAGCATCTACCTCTGGCAAGCTCTTCTCTTGTGCATGGGCAGGGAACAGAGAAACAGATATGGTCCCCGCTTTTTAGGGAGCTCAGTCCATTGGGGAAGATTGAGAAGCAAATCATGGTTCTGCAAGAAGCGGAGGAAGGGTTCTGGCAGCACAAACGTAGGGCTGCTCCTGAGTCTACTCAAGAAATGTCAAGTTTGGTTGTTGAACTTTTTTTTTTTTTTAAGTTCTAGGGTACATGTGCACAACGTGCAGGTTTGTTACATATGTATACATGTGCCATGTTGGTTTGCTGCACCCATCAACTCGTCATTTACATTAGGCATTTCTCCTAATGCTATCCCTCCCCCAGCTCCCCACCACCCAAAAGAACACATGGACACAGGACAGTTGTTGAACTTCTTAAGCCTGCTCTTTATTTCTTGCCTCCTTTATCACTTCTCTATCATAAACCAACATCCAAAATCCAGCTGCCTACCCTGAAGATGACTTTTACCAAGACCCCTTTATAGCAGCCCCACACACTCTCCAGGAATCAGGGTCCTCTAGGAATGCTGCTCCAGACCTCCTGCAGATTCCGTTGTGTTTTTCCACTCCTAGACTCCACACAAAGCAGTATACATGTATAGTAGCAAGAACTCCCTTTGTGTTAGCAATTCCAAATTGGGATGAGGGAGTAACAAGACACAGTTGGGGTGGCGAAATGAAGGAATTCCTACAAGACGCAGAGGTGATTTTCAAGCTAAGAGGTGGCTTTTCCTGGTGAGACTTCAACTTTCCCCTCCTTGCTCTCTCTATTCTGTGCTATTGCCTGGACCACGTGGGGAACAGCTTTTGTGTACACTGGTTTGAGAAAGATCATATGAAGGAAAGAAGGAAGGTGTTTCTATTTCCATCTATTGGAGGCTTCACTTTTTTTTTTTTTTTTTTTTTTTTTACTTGTGTGACTGGTTTATTGAATAATATTGATTCCATGGGATAGCAGTCATGAAAGAGTTTTATCTTTCTGCAATTACTAATCTCACATGTGCCCTGCTGAATCTCTTTGCACTCGTAGCAGACCCCTTTATAATATCTTGGACAGGTATCATAATTTCCTGGTCCCCCTTTCTTTTTAAAAACTTAAAAAATAAACCAAAAGCAACTCGGCATATTCTAGTTGGAAATTTCCATCTCATTTCCATGTCAAGGCCAAGCTTTCATCTAAGAACTTGCGGTTGGGAGGTAGACTTTAGTTCTTTCATCCCCATTTCCTCTGCCCATTTATCACAGGGAGGGGCTTAAGGGTGTGATCTGTCCATCGCTGCCCTTTCTTAAGTTTTGAATCACTAAATCTTTTATTCAGTTGTTAGAATAGATGGTGTTCTCCATGTACCATTTGTCAGTCAGGATTCATTCATGGATTCATCAGTAGACATCAATAAATATTTTTAATTAACATCGAATAATATTTATTGATCTCTACTAATGTGCTGCAGACTCTGCTAGGCCCTGGGAATACAGTGGCAAACAAAACAATCAGCTCTTGCCTTCACTACATTCAGACTTCTGAGTAATCTTTTCTGTACTAAAATTTTCAATTATTCAACTTAAGGGAGATACTCTTAATGTAAATGAGCCTCTCTCCCTTCTCAAATTGCATTTTGGAATTCTTCACTAAGTCACCTACAAACTTGGTTTACTTTCCTTGAGATTCTTTATGAGAAAGTTATATGGCTGTCGACTCACTGTGTTACCTCGTAACCTTTACAAGAATTCTTTTCTTTGTAGAACAAGAATAATGGCACCCACATCACAGAATTATTATGAGTATTAAAAGAGATAATGTGTAATAGACATTTAAGCACAGATGAATAAAGTGAGCGCCAGAGAAGTCAAGCCACTTCCTGAAGGTGACATAGCTAGTAACTAGTGGAACCAGGCGTGTCATATTGCAATTGATACAAAACGAAACCACTCCAAAACTCAGTACCTCCAAACAGTAAGCTCAAAAGACTACAGGTCAAGCACCAGGTGCCTGGCTTGCTCTCTCAACGTGTTTGGGAATTGGCTGGCTGTATGTTGGTCTAGCCTTGCCACAACTGGGACAACTGGGCTCTACTCCATGTGGTCTCCCAGATTTCAGCAGGCTAGTCCAGGCTCCTTTTGGTAGAAGCAAGGTTGAGAGAGAGAGAGAGACAGAGAGAGAGAGAGAGAGAGAGAGAGATTGACAGAGAAAGAGGAAGTAAAAGAGTTTTTGAGAGCTGGGCTCAGAACTAGGGCACTGTCACTTCCTCCATGTTCTATTGGCCAAAGCAAGTCACAAGGCTGACCGAGGTTCAAGGGATGCGAAGAGGTGCAAAGTCATATTGCATTGGACATGAGTCCAGGGAAGCCATCCACTGGGGCCATCAGTGCAATCTGTCTACCTCTCCAGGATTCAAAGGACTCCCGTTTGCCTCTAAAACCCATACTCTTGTTTCCATACTGTACTAACTATAAACACTCACGTAAAACCTTGGTCACTCTCACACACTTCCCCAGTGCCTATTCGCTGCTCTAGTCAGACTCACCATGAGGTGAACAAAACATAATTGTTTCTAACTCCAAGCCTTTGACCTATTAAAGAATCTTAATTTTTGTACTAGTTTTGAAATTAAATTTTCTATTGAAAATAACTTTAAAAACTGATAAACATTGTAAGAAGAAAGATCTAAAGAGTTTTTTCCTTCCTAACTTAGCAACAGAATTCACATCACTTATATACTGCTTCAGTTCATTATAACGAGATCAGTGGTCATGGTCAAAATGTTAATTATCTCAGGTCAGTGAGAAAATTTGACCTGTGACAAACATAGTTTATAATTTCAAGTAAAGAAGCACAATTTTCTCCAAGAAACATGCTAATAACAGATGCAGTGTTCTATAGCAAACAATTGTAATGTTCAGAAAAGTTTACAGTCCTTGGGTGATAACTATAAACATAAACCCAATTTTGAAGGAAAACTCTTGTCTCCAAAGTAAAGCAAAACAAAAGAAAACAAAAACTAGCTAGAAACTCGGTCCCTGCCACCAAACAAATAACGATCTTACATACAACCTTTATCCTGTCTGGTTAAT